CGATGTGGGTCAATACGTGTTAACTTGCCAGCAGTGTCAACTAATGAAAAGCGATCGATAAGCGCAACCGCCATTACAGTCAATCCCAGTAACCGCAGTCGGTGATCTATGGTCGGTGGATGTGATGGGACCGTTTCCACAGATGGCGAGCGGTAACCAGTACCTGTTAGTGATGAAGGAACATGCTACACGTTGGGTAGATGCCGTATCCATTGCAGACCAACGGGCAAAAACAGTGACCGAACTGGTAATCAGGCATATTGTAGCGTGTCACGGAATACCGAAGATGATATTAACTGACCAGGGTCCTTGTTTTGAAAGTGACGAGTTTAAAGCCCATCTAAAACAGTTTGGCATCAAGAGGATACGAACTACACCTTATCATCCTCAGACAAACGGGCTTACAGAAAGAGACAATCAGACGTTAAAGGAATGGTTTGCATCTAAAGGAGGAAATTGGGAGAAAGAGTTACCATTGATTTTGCTGGCGCACCGTTCCTCCATACAAGGAACAACCAAGAAGTCACCTTTCCTGCTTGTGTATGGCAGACAGTCACGACTTTCAATGCATAATAAGACCTGGCCACAACAACAGAAGTGGACGACAACAAGGTTACAAAAAGAGAGGAGGGAGGCAGTAAGGAACGTGGAAAAGAAACAAACTTCAGACATAAAGAAGGCGGAACAACAGAGGAGAACGTGGGAACCTTTCGCAGTTGGGGACCTAGTAAAGTGTAGAGAACGGAAAAGTAACATAGCAGGGGAATCAGGGTCGGGAAAGCTGATCGCAAAGTGGGAAGGAGTGTGATTCACGAACAGTACCAAGGCAGACAGGTGTACGGCGATCAGAAAGATTACGACAACAACATATTAAAAGGTGGGACGACTATGATGCGTGCTACTTATATTGACATAAGTAGTATATAACACGAGTCAGGAATGTAATGTCTGGCAGCAGAAGATTGGGAATATCAAGAAAGGAAGAACGGGAATAGAAAGCAATAAGTATGGAAATGTAAGAACAATGAAGTCCGAGACAATTATTGAACATATTGCAAATTAGGTATTATAGTATGGTTTTTCTATTTTACCAAGTAACTGTAATGTTGTGTTAAATATATTTCGGTTGTCCTCACCTGTGTTCCCCTTCACTACAGTAGTATTCTTTATTTCACTAAACCCAACTAACTTAAATTGTTTGTTTAGCATCAAGTGAGTTACGATCGATTCAGAAATATCCAGCAGCTGTGTGTCTCCTGATTTCGCCCTTTACTTAGGTTTGTCCGTCATTATTTCATAGACACAGAGATTGTTGTGTTTTACTGTCATTTTAGAGTTTGTTATAGGCGTTTTATTAATTAGAAGATACTCTAATATTACATTTAAAAACGACTCATAGAAGCTTAGGATACACGTCTATACATTCCGAAAACATAAACTATGCACACGACTGGTTTCAGATTAATGAACTGAAGATTATAAGTTTTATAGGAAAGTTTTTTTCGCAATAGGACGACGCTGCTTGAAAAATGTTTACAAAACAGAAGTAATAAACAGTGTTTTCAATCTTAGATTGATCTAACACAAAATCTTTTTTTCCGAATGATTTCGGCTTCACAAATTTTCAAGATGACTTTTTGCGTTTAAATTAATAAACATGTCTGGCGCCATAAGTTTCAGTTTGTAATGTAAGTAAATTGGTCATCAGTGAAACCAAATAATAATAATAATAATAATAATAATAATAATAATAATAATAATAATCTGATTCTGAAGGAACGGATGAATTTTGAATATTATGGTGATCATTGAGCACCATATGATGGGATCTTCTAGCGTTGTTCCATTGCTTTGTGAATAAGAGCCTTTAGTCAGAGGTTCACAAGTGACTTTCTAACATGATCATCTTCATTTATGTGGACTATTTGCCCAATATTTTAGCTCTCAAACAAAGTGTAACACAATTTTGGTACCCTACTGTACTGTTTTTAATTTGTTATACGTAAATAAATTAAAATCTATATTTAATACTACTTTTTATAAAAGTTTTAAGGGTTATAAACAGATTTTTGTACACATTTCATTCCTAATGTGTTTCTATCTGTATGCATCATAGCTGAACGTTTCACATGTAAACACCAAATGGAATCCAGAAAGAAAGTTCGTTTAATTTATTGACAAACAACATGTATTTACCTGTGAACATATTCGTATTAAATCCAGAATTTCAAGAGTTATAAAATAGGTTCTCTGAAACAGAAAAGATTTTTATGACAATTTTCACCTTCTTACTATTGGAAGTTGGATTCAGAGAACTGAGATATTTGATAAGCTGTTAATTTACATTATTATTCTCTTTTTTATTGAACTTTACAAACTAATGCGTAAATAGTTTATTAGTAGATTTTTTTATGATTAACAATGAATGATCAGTAATAAATTTGAGAACAAACAGATTTCTGTATGGGATGTATCTAACTGCCTACAAATCATATGAAGTAATTTAAAAAGTGGTCAAAATTGGTTCATCATGGGTCATTGTTTTAAAAGGACTGAAAAAAGAGAGTTATTATTATTATTATTATCATCAGCTTTATTCACTATTATATTTTTGGTACAATATAGAATTATCAGCTCAAAGTATTTCAACAAGTTTCCGTTCCTTTCTTCTTGGTCGGTCGTGGCGATAAATATTAAGTGATCGCCAGTTAGATGTTAGCAGTTCAGTAAATGAGCATCTGAATAATGTGCATTCTTTTCGTTGTATATTGCCAGCAACCACATTGTCTCTTATTGAGTTTTTTGTAACTTTGACAACGAAAGGTTGTACACTTTTCAGAAACGCAGCAGAATAGGTTATGCGATTAATAAACATAATGATATATTAAAACAAACAAAAATAGATAACTTGTTGAAATATCTAGATGGCAGGAACAGGTAGCCCAGATGCTCAAGCAGAGATGAATGTTCCAAATAACCAATATATATGAACTAGAAATTTATTTAATTGAACAGATAACTTCACTTCTGTGGTCACTAAAACATTGGCTTTAATTAAGATTAGCAACTGAATGGGGAAATAAGTTTATTGGTCACTTTAAGACCTTTATTCGGTTGGTTTATTAAATCATTAATCAATAATTCTGTTTATAAATAGTCAATTTCTTCCCGTTTATTCTACACTGGTTAGTGAGTATTATCGATTAAATTAAGAATACATCGATCAAAAGAAGTGAATAGAAATCTTGGTAAACTGATGTTAAAAGAAAAAACTGTTAAGTATTTACATCTGACTAATTCTGATAAACAACTCGGATACATATAGTTAATGGTTTTCAGCTAGTTTTATTACTCAGTAGTATATACTGTTAAGTTTTAGAACTGGTTATAAATATCCTTTCGATTAGTCTGCTTGCTTATTAAAATTCTGAAGGGACATTAGTTGTTTGAAAGTAACAGATTGCATATGTAGATTAACCGCTGTCCAATAATTGTATATTTAATTCATTTATTGATCTCGAAATAAGGCGAATCAAGTATCTAATTCTCATTTTTCCGAGGCTTTTCATTTGATATTAGTTTGTTGTAAAATCCATCTGAAGACTATAACGATACCCACAAAACAACTTCTGAATTAATAACTAAAAATCCATCGATAACTAATTTTCAGAAGCTTAATTGGGACATCATATTATATGTGAGTGAGATCTACCCACTGATGATAATACACTAAGATAATGCTACATTACAAAATAGATTAAGTACGAAAGCTGTTATCACTGGATTCTAACTAAGTTATCCAGTGGTTTCAAGTTCACCACAAACCAGAAAGCTCTGTGTTTGATTCTGTATTAAGTGTTCACTACTGAAAACAGCTTGAAGCATGGAGGAAATAGGTATTTAGTATTTTTTCTTTCTAAATGGTTTTACACTTAAGTTGTGACGAAAACCTGATCGAATGATAGTAACTCAGGTCATTAAAAAATATCTGTTACAGTACTGATTAATCTGTAATTGTAAGTCAAATATGCAACACTAAAGTTTTTAAATAATTAACCATTTCTACTAACTTTTCTCTCATAATACATGTTTTTAAAAAAAAGATACAATCTGAAGCGTTTTAACCGTATTTAACCTCATAAATCCGATAATTCAACATAATAAGGATATTTTAAGGTGAAAGTTGTTTCAATACTTTTATTCACAATCAGCAAATATACGTTTTGAAGATAACTATGATATTATTAAATACGTGTAGTATTGACCTAGAAATACATTAGTTAAATTTCATACATACATTTCTTTATAGATATTTGTATAGTGTAGTGTTCAAACAAACTTAACGACACCACATTTCCGAAGCTAGTAGAGAAAAGATATGATAACAATCTCTGAATGATCACAGTGATGAATTCTCTAGATATTCCAGCTTATTCATTATTGGTTAAATATATAGTAAAGCAAAGTGTTCTGTCTAACTTCAAAGGTATGAAGCCTAATCACTTGATATTGGTCGAAATGATAGATCACTTAACTAGAACACTTTTATTTGTGTCTTTTAATTATTGGGAGCACAATATTTAGATTTATGTTCAAACTGACTGTTAATAAACAATGCTTTGTTTTCAGTATTTCAGGTGAAATTAATACCCAACTCTCCAAATTCTACATTGTCTCATTTCAACATCTGTTTGAATTTCCATGCTATTTACTCCTGTATTTAACTGTTTCATATCAAAAATTGCTTTCAGATTCAAGATTTATAACATTGAAGATTCTGTGATTTATGACTATAAGTAAATAAAAGTATTCGGTTTATAATTTGCCTGTAAATAAAAATCAATAGAACTATCATCATTATTGATTTTTTTTAAAAAATATAACCTTCAGTAATTCAAAATCATTTACATCTATCTATTTGTTATTCACCATAAACACATTGTTTAGTTTATAGACATTGTTAGAATTTGAAAAAATCTTGTCTGATTCATTATGAAATAATGGAATCCAGGTATATTTCACCTCCAGAATGTATTTCGAAACAAATCTGCTTTATATTAAATAATATTACTGAATATAATTTAAAAAGTCAAGTTAATGAAATCATTAATATTATGCCACATGATTTTACTCGATGGTTTGCTTATTCAATTCTTAATCGTATTACTTCAGAACCAAATCAGCATAATGTATACTTTAAATTTATAATAATGATTTCAGAATATTATACAAATTTTGAAACAGTTCTATTAGAAATTTTAACAAAAGAAATTGATTATTTAATAAAATTATCAAATCTTAATGTTTCTAATGGTAAAATATTAAAATATTTTGGTAGATTTTTAGGTTGTTTAACAATTGCACGAGATATTCCTTTACAAATAAATATCAAATCATTAATTTATACAACTTTGAAATATAAACCTAATTCATTAGATTATATCGTATCATTTATTTCGGAATTATTAAAAAATATAAAATATAATAATCGAATAAAACCATCCAATTCATGGGTGAATGAAATATTACAAATCATGAAAGAATTACATTATATCACTGATAAATTAACTATACAATTTGAAATTGAATTATTGTTTAGCTTTTTAGAATGTGATTTTAATGAATGGAAATCTGCTTATTATCTTAGACGGTTTATTGAAAATGAGAACAAGGGATAAAATAAACAAACAATCATCTAACTAGATTGACGCTAGATTTAACATTTATATATATATATATATATATATATATATATAATGGTCTTCTTGTTCGGAATACTACTACTACTGCTACTACTACTACTACTACTACTACTACTACTACTACTAATAATAATAATAATAATAATAATAATAATAATAATAATAATAGTAATAATAATAATAATAATAACTATTATTATTATTATCAACAAGTGAATACAAAAATATTGATTATTATTTCAAATAATCCAATGAACAATTATTTAATATTTTTGTTTTTATTGTTTTAATTTGTTGTTGTTTTCTTTTTTTAAAGTAAATCAAATTTGTTACCCGTTTTAGGGAATATTGTTTAGAAAGATGAATTATAAAGTTATATGAATTAAAAAAAATCTGCTTTATGATCATTTCACGTATTATAATAGTGAGTTATAAGTAGATAAATTACTTATTATAAACAACAATATATTTAGTATTTGTAAGTTATAAAGCGTTAAAATATTAGGATAAAATGGATTGCAAGTTAAATTTGTACATCTATTTAAATATTGAACAGAATAAAGTGATAGGAACCTCTGAATGATCATATTTGATTATACTAGGCAGTATTAGATGGTAGTTGGAGGTAGTCGATAGGAAACCGTGGACCCGGGTTTCGTGCTACTTGGCACTCGTCAGCAAGGTGTACCTGTAATCTTGAGGGAACTGGTGCTCCCTAGCGGATTCGATCTCGTGTCACCCAGCTTCATAGTCAGAGACGTTACCACTGAGCTATCCAAGCCGTAGCTAACCTCCTGTAGAACTGAGATGTAATCACAATTGATTGATCACTGGATGGCGATCAATGTCATACGCGTCTAGTCCTTATTAGTGCAGATCGAATGCTATCGACTAGGCAGTATATTAGACGAATCCATGAAATAGTTGTCAATCGGTCTAAACTGAACTGTTGAAAAATTAATAAGTTTAATACCGAGACACATAGTATTAATTCATTGTCTCATTATATTTGTCTACATCTTTAAAACATTATCCTACACTTGTTTATCCACCTTTTCCCTAAATCCTTTCAGTCATCATTATTAGCTTACCTATTTTTATTCTTTGACTTACTTTACTGTTACTGAAATATGAGAAGTTGAGCTGATAAACTGTACAATGGTCTTAATATTTTCAGTTTATCTTCTGATAAAAAGGAGGGAGTCTATTCTATTAAAATAGTTGATTTTTATGAACGAAGCTATCAGTAAATGTTTGAACTCTCTGCATCAAAATAGGTTGGAACGAAGTTAAAAGTAATCACACAACGTTATGTCATCAGTTCAGAAAGTTATCAACTATTGGGCTTAATCTTAACTGGAGATGAGAATTTTCTGGTAGAGCTACGTCAGATAATCGTTACATATTATTAGAGATAGTACCTGACACTGGTCTAATTGATTCAAATGTGTTTCAATTCCTGTCTTACTTAAGATTATTTATTACTTTTTGTTTTCTGGCTTTATCGATTTCTTTTGAACCCCTCTTTTCTTACATAAAATTCTCACTAACATCTAGCTAAGTTTATGTGAAATGTGGTGAATCTGATCGATAAACTTTTAGCATTAGTACTAAACTACCCAAGGTTAATAATCTAATGCCCAAAGATTCAACATGAAAGGTTTTGTCGCAGAATATATTTCAAACACACATTACTAGTAAACCAAATCCAAGGGACCACATATGGTACAAAGGTTGAAGGGAGTGTGTGTAAAATATTCAGTAGGTTATGGGACAGAAAAACAAAAAATAAAATGTACAGTCTCAAAAAGCTCAACTAAATGTTTTGAGATCCATAAAAAATAAGGCTAATACAAATTTTTTTGTTAATCACTTTGATGTTTACCACTGACTGCCTGAAATAAAAGCTGCATTTTAACGGAAATATCTATTTAAAAATAAATTGCTCTGGTTGAAACCTTTGTTTTATATTCACTTGGTATTGTTTTCCTTGTATCTTCCCATTGTTATTTAGGACTGCAATTGATTAGTCTCTTGTTGAGATGCAGGTACATCCAGCTGACGAGTCCCGAACGGGATGAAACGCGCGTCCTGGATTCCACTGCTAGCCACTATCCATCTTTGCTTAAAAAACATTGTTTTATATGATTATACTGAATGATTTGATATATCAAATTGAGTTTTGTGACAATGAGGTCAAACAAAAGATTCTAAGCTATCTGTTTAAAGTCATAAAATTCAAGATCAGTTAGTTATAACGAACATGCTACCTTGCAAAGACGTACATCGAACCACATTGTCACATCCCATCAGCATAGAAAGGAAAAAGTGAACAGAAAAATTAAACGTAGAAAATATGAAGAGAAGGTATATTTAATCTATCAGCGCTTTTCTAACGATTACAAAACAAAAGATTATAGGAAATAATGAGTTTCATTTTAGTAAATTCTCAGGATACTCAGAATTAATATCACGTAAATTCTCGAGATTTTCTACCAACAGTCAGCCTCATGAAACGAACTGTGTAAATGGTAATCACTTGTAACGTTCAGAATTTGTTAGATTTGCGTCTAGCCTGAAGGTATCTTGTGTTTTGTGAGAGTGTGAGGAGCAGTACGTAAGAGAATTTGGAAGAGAAAAAACAAGAGAAAAATTGAGCTGATGACTCAGTAAGCGCATAGAATGCATCTAAACTTAATAATGAAATCAATCGACAGCAACCATAAATAACACGAACATGAGATTAGGACAATCTGAACATCGATACTAGAAGTTGACAGCGTAATGTTTCGAATGCTTTAAATTATTTTGAATCTGAAAGTACCTATTCACATCAACATGAATTAACTCCATTCTACGCATTTCGGAGTGAATCTTGATGTTTTAATAGTCATACATTTGATTTGTCTGTATGAATTGGAAAATATTAAAAGTATTCTGTTTCATTCCTACAAATTTTTATTTGCTTATGTGCTTAATTTACTTAGTGTTGTGCATTGTGCTAGTGTAAATAGAAATCCCGATCATACTATGTATTATTCTCCTCTTTACATGGATTCATCTATGATCAGGTTTAACGGATACTTGTAATCAAGGACTGGTGTGTACACGCGTCATACTTGGAGTCAGACACGTGTAGCAAGTAGCCAACAAGGCCTTGACTGCTTCTTCCAATTACAATTAATCATACAAAAAAATGTTAACTTCTGATCAAACACATAGTTAATTCTTTAGTCAGTCAAACAAATATTTTACACAAATTACTCATTACTGGTTAACAAACTTTATTTTTTGGTTTTTATTATCATTTTAATTTCATTAGTTAATAAGCATAATTAGTAGGTTAAACGACGCAATATCAAGATGGGCTATGCTTTGTGTTTTTCGATTGCAGGAGTCAGTTATAAGAGGGCTGCAAATATACTCTTCGAAATTTTCGTATATTATCAGTCATGCACACATGAAATTTAGAGAAATGTCTGGTATGAGTAAGTAATATTTGATTGATGCGTTGTACATATTTACTCGTTTTATTTATAATTTATACAATTCCTTCATGTTTGTTTGTTGTCTCTTCTTATCTTTAACCACTGATACAAATGTTTTTACTAGATAACTTTTACGAAAAACCCGAAATTTCTTATTTTACTACTTATAAGCGATGCTATTAGTTATTCTAGTGTGTTAACATAAAAATTAAAACTGTGGTGATACAGTCATACGATTGGAGATTTTGCTACTGTGCTGATTATACATCGGACGTTTCCCCAAGAAACGACTAATGTTACATACACCTACAGACACCAAGTTCAATCATTTAGTTTCTCGTTATGTTGGTGAATATTTGTAGCTCAGGATGAGGATGATAGAAGTTTTGTGGTCTCTGGGCTGAATGAGTTGGTTATGGCATCTTCTAATCTGATGGTCAGGTTGTCTTAATCTTATGCTTGTATCACTGTTATTGGCTATAAACTGCCTTTATTAATCAATATAAGTGAAACCTTGGTACTTTCTTAGTCATTAGTTCATTTTTTCCATATTACCCCCCTTTCTAGGTTCTCACGGACACGCTATCCTACATATTTTTCCAGCACACAGCATGCCTTCAAGCTAGAAACAAACCAACAAAGTCTAAACGTTACAAATCAGTTTACATTTTAGATTCCAAACAAACGCATAGGAATCAATTATACGCTTATGTCCACTGACCCATAAAATTTTATTCGTGAATATCAGCACATTAGTACTGCAGTGAACAAGAACACCAGTAGGAACAATAGAATGTGACACAAACTTACAGGACTTGTTAATAAAATCTAACAATCATAAAGTAAATGCTTAATTTGCTAAATGTCCACCAATTGTCTCAAAATGACTCAGACTTCGTTGTTCTTGCATTTTCATACAAATTGCATCCTGTTTCCATTCTTTACTGTTCGATCCTCTTGTCTCTCCGCTGCCAGACCTTCTGTTTACGACTAACATCATATACTACTTATGTCAACATAAGTAGCACACATCACAGTACTTCAAATTGATAAGAACCCAAGAAAATATGACTATTCTAAGAATTCATTCCTAAAATAATCTGTAGGTAGCGACAACTCATAAATATAGTTTTGAGCGTGAATGGTATCAAAATGCATTCGGCTAATGCAGAGCATGAAATGTTATAGACATATTGAAAGGTGAACTGAATTTCGGAAATAGTTTGATAACTGTATAGATAAACTTGGGAATTTTCTATCGTTTATTTCTTCTAATTGCTGTTTATAGCATAGTTCTTAATGTAGATATCTTATTATTTCAGTCCATTTACACATACCTGACATACCTGATAGCTTTATCACAGACATATTTTAGTGAGCGACAACAACTAGTTTCGTATTTCAAGGCCTGGAATAGCCGAAATTCATGTATTTGGTTGCATTCTTTTGTATAGTGAATAGAAATTCTTTAAGTCATTTACAATCAACGACTGTATCAAAAAAAATTTTTATGAATAATTCTTG